AGCATTCTTAATTTCTATCATTTGCAGGCTGAAAGCCTGGGTTTGGAGAGTCACTCCTACTTTAAGCAAGGCTTATATAGAGGTAAATTCTTCAGCAATTCCTGGGTTATGGTAGTGCTTTTAAATGTATCTTTTTTAAAAGTTGCTTTTATAGAATAATGTGCTACGTGTTTTATCTCAAAATTCTGACAACCTTATGAGGTAGGATTATGGAAACTGAGGCTCAGAGAACTTAAGTGGCCTGTCTAAATTCACATAGCCTGGAAGTGGTAAAGCTAAGATTCAAACTCTGTGTTCTTAACTACAAATTATGCTACCTTCCTTAATAATGTATATTCAATGACTTAGTCACCTAAGGTTTCCTCTAATCTTCTGATTTTTTTTTCCATGAGAGAAAATACTTTAGTTAGATGTATATTCTGTTTTTAATTATTATTTTAAATATGTCTTTATCGATTTCCGAGAGAGGAAGGGAGAGGGGGGACAGAAAGATAGAAACATCAATGATGAGAGTCATTGATCGGCTGCCTCCTTCACGCCCCCTGCTGGGGATCGAGCCCACAACCTGGGCACGTGCCATGACTGGGAATTGAACCTCTATCTTCTGGATCATAGGTCCATGCTCAACCGCTGAGACATGCTGGCTGGGCTAGATGTAGATTCTTAATAACTTCTACGTTGATGATATGAATATACAGTATTTTGATTGGTGGATGATTGGGGCCTGAGAGTCAGTCTATCGTGCTCTATGAGGGGAATAGGTGATATAAAGTTTACTTCAGGAGAGGAGCAACTTGGTATATTCCCAAAGCCTTGAGATCAGAGAGGGAGAAAATGCTGACAAGGAAGGCATTGGGCAAAAGGAAAGAAGGTAAGGAGTGGCCACCAAAAACCACAGGAAGAGGGCATATGGTATCAATTTCATATCTCATTTCATGGAAAATTCCTATAGGTCAGCAGGATGGGATTTGGGATAATGCATTGGCTTTCACCTACCCCGCAAACTCGTCACCATCCTCTAAATTGATGCTCTAAACTTCCATGAACTCACCTCCGGGTCTCTTCCAAAGATAGGCTGGGTATGTCTCCTGACAGACCTTTCCAAGATGGCAGGACAAGTGGTTAAAAGGAGACACAAGCCCCTGACACTATGACCACCATAATAAACACCTGCTTTGTAAAGGGCTGTTCTTGGCTAGTGCTAGAACTCAGCATGAGGAAATAGTCACCTCATTACTACTAATAGAAATAAATATTCTATAGCTATAATTTATTTGAAAATTAAAATAAATGATAACATGAAATACCTAAATTACAAATGTAAAAAGAGGAAAATTACATCCTAAATGACAAAATACCTCACTTTCAACTTCCAAAGCCTTCTGTATGGTATTAAGATCAGATGTCAAATGCTTTCTCCTTTCTCTCTCTGACAACTTACTTTCAAATATTTCAACTTTTTCTTGACTCATTTTCAATATCTGCAAAATGATTTTTTTACATAATTAATCCTATATATAATAATGTTTCCTATAAATTCTGATAATAATAATTTTCTGCCTAATTCAATTATAAACTCATCTAGAGGAGACAGAAAGCTGGGAAAACTAGTTCATGGTACCATACTCCTAAGATACATTTTTCTTCTCTAAGCCCGTTTTCTCAACAATAAGATGGAGCTAATGCTTGTCCTATGTACATCACAGCCATCAGAATAACAGCAGAATGTGGTTTTACCCTTACACCATCTGAGATGCCTCCGTACAAAGTGCAAGAAACATTTCAGCTCAAAAATGAAAACTCCCATTTCCTTTGTTTTCTCAGTATAAGAATGTCATGTATTTTAATGCTATAACTTTAAAAAAAGAACTTTTCAAAAGAATATATATTTGAAATTTATCAAAATTATGGCATACTAAATATAGTTATGTATTTAGGCAATTTATATACTTCATAAGTCCAGCGACCAAGTTTAAAACAGAAAAACACAAGAAAGGCACAGCAAATAATGTGAGAAATGAGTGATGGGATACAGAGACCTCTGGGCAGCTAAAGGGAGCCTACCTTGCCTGTCAGCCAGCAGGAAACAAAGAGGAAGACTAATGGCCTTGCTAGAGATCAGCCTCATTGGCATGGGGTGGCGCCCAAAGACTCTGGAGAACTGTGTAACAGTTCAGAATTTTCCACTGTCAATGTTCTACTATCTGAAAGGTAGGGATCGTGCGATGCTCTGAACCAAACTGTACCTCCTAGGCACAGTATGACAAGTGTCATCCCCCCATGTGCCTGCACTGTGCTGTTCCCTCTGCAGGCACGGTCAAATGCGATGGCGCATGCAGGCACTGCAGAGAATAAAATGCTACGCGGTCGGTCATCGCCTCCAGGTAGAGATGGTTTATGTGCTCGGTGCTGGGTATGCCATAACCCCCATGGTAGTAATAAATCCCCAATATAAATCCTCTCTATAAATCCTCTGAGTTGGTATGTTGTAGTAAATGAGCTCTAGAGCCAGACAAACCTGGATCAACTCTTATTTTGGTCAAGTTCCCTCAAATATGAAATAGGAATACTCTACTTACCCTAGAGAGGACTGTTACAGAGATTACATGAGATCATGTTTATAAATCACTTAGAACAGATTGTGGCATATGACCAAAATATTGTGGCTATTATTCCTGCCAGGTACCTAACATTTCTTATATTTTAAACATTTTCTCTGAGAACAGGCATACTAGCAGCAGTGAGATGGTCTATTTAATGTTAAATCTGTCTGTATATAGAAATGGGTAAGGAACACAGTCATATCTTGAGGAGCCTGCTTGATTTAAGGGAGTGGCTTTCTTAATTATTTGTCCTTTTTAAGTCACAGGACTTCCCCCTCCCATTTGTTTTCAAAATAACTCTTAGAAGGAAGCTGTCTACAGAGTACCCAGAAGTGGAGGCTTCTCTGGTTCTCATGGAGGTAGAAGACCTAGCGATTTGCATCTGTAAAACAGCAAGGATCCCTGAAAATCAAAGTGGCAAAAAACATGGGTTTTGTAGTCAGTTTAAATTTGAAATCTCGACTTCCACTTTTATGAATTTGCAATTTTGGTTTTCTCATCTATAAAGCAGGGTGAACAATACCTACCTCCCAGAATTTCTGTTAACATTAAGTGAGTTATGTCAAACCCCCAGCAGTAAAGTCACTACAACATTATAGGTATTCAGATATTAGTTTCCATTCATTACTTCCTTTTTGTAGGAAACAGAAAATAAAGTAATGGCCTCATCCTAACTTGATAACATTTGCAAAGACCCTATTTTCAAATTAGGTCACATTCACAGGTACTGGGGGGTTAGGACTTTAACATATTTGGCGGGGGGGACCACAATATAGTTTATAACAGAGAGTAATAAACAGAATATATAAAGAGCTCTTGCAACTCAACAAAGAAAAACCAAACTGCAATAAAAACTGGCAAACGATTTGAAAGACATTTTCCAAAGAAGATACATACATGGTCAATTAACACATAAAAAGATGCTCAATACCATGTCATTCAGGAAACGCAAATCAAAACTACATTGAGATAGTACTTCAGACCCAATAGAATGGCTATAATAAAAAAGACAGGATATATCAAATGCTGGTGAAGATGTGGAGAAACTGGACTCTCACACACGCCGGTAGGAATCCCAATCAAAATTCTAGCAGGCATTTCTATCAAAGCTGACAAGCTGATTCTAAAATGTATATGGAAATGCAAAAGACCTAGAATAGCCAAGACAACTTTGGAAAAGAAAAACAAAGTTGGAGATGTTGTCTTTCTGATTTCAAGACAAAATAAAACGACAGCATAGTATTATTCTAAGAACAAACACATAGATAAATGGAACAGAATAGACTCCAGAAATAGACTTGCATGATATATTTTTAATAAAAGTGCCAAGTAATTCAATTAACAACTAACTATCTTTTCAATAAATGATTCTGGAATAACCAGATATATATCTGGAAATAAATGAAACTCAACCCTTATCTCAAACCATATACACGAATTATGATTTGATGGACCATAAACCTAAATGCAGAAGCTAAAACTATAAAACCTTTAGAAGACAGGAAAAATATGTTGTGCCCTGCTGCAGACAAAGATTTCTTAGATAGGCATTTTGTGTCCTATCATAAAATTATTTTTAAAAAAACATCGATGAATCGGTCTCCATCAAATTTTCAAAACAACTACTCTTCATAAAACACTGTTAAGAAAATGAAAAGACAAGTCATAGACTAAGAGAAAATATTAAATATATGAAATACATATATCTAATGAAGGACTGGTATCCAAAATATATAAAGAATTCCTATAACTTAATATAAAGAATACATACAACTCAATTAAAAATGAGCAAAACAGCCCAGCCAGAGTGGCTGAGCTGGCCGAGCATCGTCCCGTGCACTGAAGGTTGATGGTTCAGTTCCTGGTCAGGGCGCATACAGTCGGGGAGCACGCGGGAGGAAACCAATCAATGTTTCTCTCTCTCTCCCCCCCTCCCTCTTCCTCTCTCCAAACATGTCCTCAGGTGAGAATTAAAAAAAAAAGAGCAAAACATTTGAACAGATGCCTCACAAATGAATGTACGCAAATGGCCAAATAGGCACACTGAAACATACTGTCATTAGACACTCTCAAAAGTCAAACTAAAAGAACGAGATACCACGACACATCTGCTAGAATTTAACAGACTGACAACAGCAATTTTGGTGGAGTTAAGGAGCAACTAATTCCATACCATTGTTGGTGGCAATGTAAAACAGTACAACTAATTTGAAAACCAGTCTGGCAATTTCTTATAAAATGCAACACATACTTCCTAAACTCCAACTGGTTGAGCAACAGAAAAAGACAAGCAATAAGGAGAGCAGCAAATGATCAGCACCAATTACTCTGGTGTACTCTGTAAAAATGTGACTCCTTTAAAAATGAGAAATCAGAAAGAAGAGAGCTTTAACATACCTGTACTTTCTGTTCGGCACCCACAGTTGTCCCAGGGGAGTGGCTTCCAAGTTGCTTATTCTCTTGAGATTCACGAATCTCTCCTTTAAGCTTTTCAACCTTAAACACAAAAGTATCTTAAATATGAAAGTTGGAAGGGTGGGGGAGTTGCTTTGTTTTTAAAATATACAAGTAACACATGAATACATTTTTCATGTAAAAAATTCAAGCCCATAGGTATACAGAGTAGAAAGTAATATTTCCCTTCACATAACCTTACCCCAATAACCCCTTTCCCCTCTCCAGAAGTAGCACTGTTTACAATATGCCCTTCCTGAAGTTTGTCCCCCACTATATATGTACACATATACATCAAACAAATGAATATACATCAGTATTAGATATATAAATTTACAAAGACAACTTGAACAGTCTTTATTCGTTCTTTGTTATGATTACAGTTTAATTTACGATAAAATATACATACCACAAGATGTACTGTGTTAACCACTTTTAAGTGCACAGTTTAGTAGCATTAAGCACATTCACATTATTGTACAACCATTATTGCCACTGATCTCCAGACACTAGAGATATGCTTATGAAATGAATATAAGCTAAAATTGAAGGGATATGTAAAATATCCAGAAATTGCAAGTACATATTAAAAATCAATGAACTGCTAAGGTGAAATGGTTCAAAAACGTAACACAACTAAGGGTGTAGTAGTAATAATCTCAAACATATCCAGTGTAGTAGATACTATTTGGTAAACGTGTTAAGTATAAACTATTATCTAAATCCCTATTAAAAAGAAGAAATCCTAAATTGACACAACGACAATAAGATTACTGTTTAGCATAGGTAGTTAAGATGTATAAAATACAAACACTGGTAGACTGCATCCAAGACAAAGTAAAGTACGGCTTGTTCCTGGGAAGCTAGAGCCACCAGTATCAGTCCGCAAGAATGATCAATAGGTGATGTGTATCTATGTTGCTCTACTGCTGATTGTCATTCTATACACATTTAAATAAATTCTAAGAACTAAATTAAACAACTTACCACTTCTCCAAGCACTTTTTTTTCCGAGTCAAGTGATCGAACCCGAGTTCTTAAAGCCAGAATTTCCTCATTCAGTCTCTGATTGTGTTCCTTTGCTTTCTTTAGGTCAACTGAATCTGAAACAGAGAGAAGAGGGCACTCCGCTCAACTGGCGCATAGTTTTAATTTGGGGGCATTAGCTCTAAAAACTGAGGAAGTGCTATTTCCTGACTTTTTTTGTTTTTTGCATTCATAGTTGCTTCTTCCTGACCTTCTTGTCATGTCTCTGCATAAGTGATTCTCTGCACAAGAGAGCTGCTAGACAGATTCTAACGTCCAGCTCTAGAATATTCAACCAACCTAATGAAGCAGAAAAGAATTTTTTTTATTCTCTCACACCAAGACTAATAAATTGGACTTCTGAATGTAGGGTTTCCAGCAATAGAGGTTTTTCTAGGATGTGGAATTTTAAAACAGTCGAGCCTACCTTCTAAAAGTTAAATGACAGAAAATGATCTTCCTGGCTTCCCTGTAGTCCTTGTGGTCCTGTCTCTCTTACACACCTCACATACTCCTAGATACTTCTCTTCTACTCATTAGCAGCAAGTGCCCTGTGGGTGACTGAAGTAGCGAGCTAGGAACAGTGAATGGGCAGATTTTCCATGTTAAAGCAAGTTAATTCATCAAGGCCATTGTTCTGCATGTAGCAGCAGTGCCATTAAAGTGGTAGTCCACTCTCAGCTTAGCACCTCACGTTAAGACTTACTCTTTCTAGCACTCAGCAAAGTTTCAGTAATAATAACTTGCTGCCCGGAACTTTCCTGAATTTGTAGCTGTTTCTTTTCAGCCATTTTTCACTTCTGTTTCTCTTATTTTTATTTTGCTGCTTTAAAGTCTTTGTTTTCCTTCTTCATTGCCTGTTTTGTACTTAACTTGTATTAATTTTTCCTTTCTTCATTTTTTCTCCCTTGCTACACTTTTTTCCTCCTTAGTATGTAAATTTTTTAAATTTGAAAAATGCTGAAAACATACCAAAAAACAAAAAATGATTCACAATCCATATATATATATATATATATTATATATATTATATATATATATATAATATATATTTACAATTCGTATATATATATATAGAGAGAGAGAGCATGCAAAAACAAGATTTGTTCTACCTTTGGCCTATGCAATTTTTTGTTGTTATTAATCCTCACTCAAGGATATTTTTCCATTGATTTTTAAAGAGAGAGGGAGGGAGGTAGGGAGAAAAACATCAATGTGAGAGGAACACATGGATTGGTTGCCTCCTGCAAGTGCTCTGGGCCAGGAGCGAACCTGCAGTCCAGGTACAGGAATGCCCGTGACCAGGAATCCAACACTCAACCCTTTGGTGCACTGGCCAATGCTCTATCCACTGAGCCACACTAGCCAGGGCCCAGTAAACATATTTTAAATTATTTTTCTAGTTGCTACCATTACAACACTCAAATTTTATTATATTATTTATAACTGGTCACATTTTTACATAGTCAAGCTAGGGTCAGGTTAACTAACTCACCACTGATGTCAAGTCTGTTGGTTCCCAGTGAACAAGTATGTGTGAGGTGCTGTTAAATGCATTAGAAGGTGTCTTGATGTCAGTTGTCCCAATAAAACATGTATTATTTGTGTTTGCCACAGGTTTTGGAATCAAGATATATCTGGGTTCAAATACCAGCTGTAATACTTAATGTAGCTATTGGCTAATTCACTTAACCTCACCATGACTCAGTTTCTTTATCTATGAAATTGGAATATTAATACTCACTACTTGAAACTGTTGCGACAATTAGAGATAATGCTTGTAAAGTGCCTGGTAGAGTGCCTGCTACTTATAAGCAACGAGTAGTAATAACAGTAATAGAAATAGTAATAATAGCAGTAGTAATGCTATTATTATTATAATTATTAAATAATGTTATTTTAAAACATTAATGTTATATTATTGTTTAATGTATTATTAAATATTATATCTGCTAAAATGACTCACCATTTTCTTTCAGCTTTGTCAAGTTTTCTTTCAGTTCCTCAATTTCTAGTTGAACCTTCTCAAGTGCAGAATCTAAAAAAGAAAAAAACAAAAACAAAATACTGGGTGGGGGCAAAAGTAGGTTCACAGTTTTTTGTATGGAAAATAATACGATATTCACTGTTTAAAATGCATTCTTAACAAAATCTCAAGCCTCTTGGTATATATATTTTTTTAACATATCTTTACTGACTTCAGAGCGAGGAAAGGAGGGGGAGAGAGGGAGATAGAAACATCAATGATGAGAGTCATTGATCGGCTGCCTATCCCGCCCCCCGGGCATGTGCCCCGGCTGGGAATAGAACCCCAGTCGCCTGGATCCTAGGTCAATGCTCAACCGCTGAGCCACGCCCGGCTGGGCGATATTTTTTGTTTTTAATCCCACACTCAATTTGGCAGAATCATTATTATTTTATATATATAACATTCTTTAGATGTGATCTTAAGGTAACCTATATATAGCATTTGAAAATAATCAGTCTAATTTCTTTAATCATTTCAAATTATAAATATAGAAAGGAGACAAAAATTTTTAAACTTTATACCAAGATAAATTATAGATAAATCAAAGATTAAAATAGAAACAACAAAACCATAAAAGCACTAAAAAAAATCCACCCAGGGCAAACATTTTCAATAATGTTATAGTGATGTAGAAAAGGCTTTACATAGGAAACCCCAGAAGCCATAAAAAATAACTGTTAAACCTGACTTGATAAATATTAGCATTTCTATATGGCAAAAAACCCCCAACGTCACATTTATAACCAACAAAAGGCTGATGTCCAGAACATATAAAGAGCTCCTATAAATTAATAAAACATAAACATACAATCCAATAGAAAAATATGCATGAGACTTGAGCAGGAACTTCACAAAATAGTATCTCCAGATGAGTATCAACAAACATATTTTTCAACTTCATTAGCAGGGAAATGCAAATAAAAGCCACAATTAAATACCACTATACATGTACCAGAAAAAGTAGTTAATAAGACTGACAATACCAAGGACTGACATGAAATGTGGAACTAAAATCTGATATATAACTGAGGAGAGCTCAAATTAAAACAACTATTTGGAAGACAGTGTAGGTGTAATCTGCCAAAACAGAACATACTTATAACCTGTTGATCCAATAATTCTCCTCTTAGGTATATCACAGTTAGAAATGTGTCGACAATACAAGAATATCCAGAGTAGCACTATTCAGAATGGACCACAACTGGAGACAACATAAATGTCCAACAGTATAAAGGATCAGTCAAATAAATTACAGTATGTTTTTCAATAGAATATTCTACAAAGAGCAAAAGTGAACGAATTGCTGCTACAGGTAACAATATGAATGAATCTCACAAACATAAGATTGAACTAGACACAACCGGAGAATGTGTGGTGCCTGTAGTCAAAACTCAGAAATAGTGTTGCAAGTCAAGACAGCGGGTACCCTGGAGAGGAGAGAGGGTGCACACACAGGGCGAAGGAACAAAATGGGCCTCTGGGGTGCTGGGGATCTCTTGGGTGGTGTACACTTAAGAGTTGTGCACTTCGTGGTAGGTATGTTGTACTTTAATAAAAATTTCTGGACATTGAAGAAAATGAGGCTGTTGACCAGATGTTTATGTGTTTATCTGGAAAGATTCTGTTCTCAAGGCACCCATGTTCCACTCGAGCAGAGTTCGTTACTCTGAAGCATGGCCAGAAATGTTCAGTAAGCACAGCTTACCCAGTTTACTCTGTTCCTTCTCATTCCCTTGCAGCTCGTCGGTGAGCCTGCGGATCTCTTCATGGGCCGTCCTGAACCTCTCTGCTATTTGTTCCACACCTCTCTCCATGCAGCTTGGTGATGTTTTATCTTTTTCTATGTCTTCATTATGGGACTGAAATGGAAGTATTGTTAGTAATAAAAAAAAAAAGTAAATGCACTCTTATGACATTGCACTATTTCTACTATAAGTGTTTAAAAGCCAATAAAGAAAAGTAGCAAACAGAATATTTCATTTATGTGCATCTTTTTATTTGTTTGAACCATATAAAATTGGCAATATTTGATTATTTTTTACCTATAAACATGCAATTTCATATGGTTCAATCTAACATATCTAAAAGACTTTGGTTATATGATTATTTTAAAAATAGAAATTTAGCCCTGGCCACGTGGCTCAGTTGGTTGAAGCACCGTCCCATACACCAAAAGGTTGTGGGTTCGATTCCCTGGTCAGGGCACATACCCAGGTTTTGGGTTGGATCCCTGGTCAAGGCACGTATGCGAGGCAACAGATCCATGTTTCTCTCTCACACTGATGTTTCTCTGTCTCTCCCCCCTTTCCTCTCTCTCTCAAATCAATGAAAACATGTCCTTGGGTGAAGATTAACACACACATACACAAAACAGAAATTTAATCATTAAAATGAGTATCATCGGGCAAGAAAGAAACTATTCTTCTCATTTATATGGAACATTAAATACAGTTTGTAAAACGTTTTCACATGAAGTATTTCATTTAATTTCAAGGTATGAACATGCTGAACAAGGCTCACAACAGGTTTAGAGCTCTTTTTCTGCAATTATTTTCAAAGCATCACAAAAGCTAAGGGAGAAATTCAATCTCAATTATATTTCTTTTTTAATCCCCAAAATATGTATTAATTTTATATAATCATTATATGAAGTTTTCTAAAAGATAAGAAAACAAGCAAGTTACCACCCATATAACAAAACTTTTAGCATATTGCTATATTTCATTGCAGTGTTTTTTCCTTCACAACCACTTTTTACATAGTCATAACCACCACCTACGTACAAGTTTCTGTCTGCCTTTTTCGTTTAACATTATGAGAAACATTTTCTGGAAGGATACATAAAAAATTGTTGGCAGCGGTAGTGTTAAGAGTGTGGAACTGAGGATTTGGGGTGAGAAGATATTTCATTTTCCATTCAGTTTTATCCTGCTTGAATCTTTCTTACTGTGTGCTTGGATTAAGTCAGAAAACCGACAAATTAAAAACAAATGTTAAGTAAAATACAACTAGTATGCAGACCAGGCCTTGCAATATTCTTTGGGCTTCCAACTCATCATCGGTGGCCCCATTTTGGCTTGAATGACTCACCTACTTTATGCACAGGTTAATTCAACATTAGCCTATGCAAAATATAACTAGGGAGGCAATGAAATTTTTACAAGTTACATTTCATAATGACACTTTACAATAACAAAAATCTTTGAAGTATTTGTTTTAATTCTTTCTGTCCATTTGTGGGAAAATTATGACCTAACAGTGACAGGGTAGATAGCCTCAGAGTCATCCAAGAGTTCACCCCCACCATGTCCAATTTATTTTATAGATTCCATCTCCTTAATTCATCTTTCCTTCTCTATTTACACTCAGCCTTGGTTTTGGTTCTCATTCTTTTTCTTTTTTAAAAAAATATATCTTTATTGATTTCAGAGAGAGGAGGGGGGGAAAGAGAGAGACGGAAACATCAATGATGAGAGAGTCATTGGTCGGCTGCCTCCCGCACGCCCCGACTGGGGATCGAGCCCGCAACCCGGGCATGTACCCTGACTGACCGGGAATCGAACTGAGATCTCCTGGGTCCTAGGTCGATGCTCAGCCACTGAGCCATGTCCGGCTGGGCTTGGTTTTCATTCTTTAATTAATTATTATATAACTCCCCCTGAAATCCCCGCTTCCAATCTGGCCCCTATCCAATCCATCCCGCCACTGTGGCCAGAGTGATTTTTCTAAAATGCAAATCGGATCATGTTACTCACCTATTAAAATCACTTAGTGACTCTTCAGACCTTCTGTGACAAGTCAATCATTCATACATTCAAAATATTTTTATTCCTCTAGTATGGTCCAGGACCATGGCTGGGTGCTGAGTCCAAACTCTTTAGCTTAGCACATGAGTCTCACATGATGTAGTTCCTGAAATATCTCCAGCCACTTTTCTCAGCACTCGCTCACATGAACCAGTGTCAATTATACACTGTTTCTTTGGCCAGAAATGCCTTTCCCTTCTTCCTGATCTGAATAACACCTATTCAGCTTTCAAAATACTACTCAACATCACCTCCTTTGGAGGTCTTTTCTACCCATCTCCCTAGCTCAGCCCCTCTCCTGAGTTCTCCTAGCTTTCTGTGCCTTCTTTTCTCATAGAACTTTCCACGCTGAACTATAATGACTGGTTTATTCCTTCCCCTCATTAGCTTGTAAGTTCCTTGCAGTCCAGATCATGTCTAATTTGACTTTGTTTCTATATCCACTAGCACAAAGCAGGAACATAGTAAGTCCTCAATAAATAATAACAACAATGCTAATTAATGTGAGGTACTATTCTAGAGCTTTATATATATTATTTCATTTTCATGACCATGTTGTAGAGCATTTGAGTTGATCCCAGGTTTTATAGATGAGAAAACCAACGCTCACAAAAGTTAACTTCTTCAAGGACTAAAGAAGCCCACCCAAACCCAAAGTCTGTACTCTTAAGTACTGTTAAAATTGGCTTCCTGATATTTTAATGAACGAATGATTAAATGAACAAATGCAATTTTAAAACTTACTGCCCCTTATTCAGTTATCTAGTTAATTTTGGAATACCTGGGCAAATTCTTCCTGCAGGTTATTGCTCATACATCTTTGTGACTCTGCCTTTGAATCCCCAAGTTCCAGTTTACTCAGGAGTTTACTTCTGTCCACCAGTAAGTATGCAATCTGTTCACTGGGGCTGCTCAGAGCTATTTCAGAACCTTCTTGGTACAACATTTCTTCAGCCTCTTTTATTTGCACTTCTGTTAGGAAGAAATAACAGAAACAAACTTAAAAGAAATTCAGGTAAATAACTACTCTATAAGATATTGAGTTCTTAATTAGATAACAACACATTCCCTTCATGCTATTGTGCTTTCTGACTTCTTCCACTCCTCAAATCGCTGCATTTTGACTTCTGTTCTTACCACTGTACTCAAACCCGGTCAACAATAACCCTCAAAATGCCAGATCCAACTGGACATGTTTCTGTTCTTTTTATATATGAACTCTCAACAGTACCTGTTCACTCCTTTCTTGAAAGTGATTCCTTTCCCTGTTCTGTGATATCGCTTTCTCCTATTTTTACTCTTACCTCTCCGGCCTTTCCTTCTCTGTGTTCTTCCTGGGCCCCTCTTCTCCCATAGACCCTTCAAATGCCACCATTTCTAAGAACCCTGCCTTTGGCTCTCTGATCTTCTCACTATCATGGTGATGAAAAGTCTGGGCATGAGAGTCTCACATATCTTGGGTCAAATCCTGGCTCCACCACTTTCTAGCTGTGTGACTTATACAAGTAATCTAACTTCTTCAAATTTTGATTTCCCTAAAATAAAATGGATATAATAGTAATACCTACATCATAGTATCGTTAGGAGGATTAAATAATAATCCATCTCTGCTGAGCTCCAGGTCTATCTAGAAAAAGTGGCAAGAAACAGAAACACACTGAAGTTAGAACAAATACAAGTGCGTGTGGCAGAGACTGCCAGCTGTCCTTCAAAATTTATTCATCCCCTTTTCCACGGAAATAAGACATTTGATTTTTTGTCTAATCACACAGCTGCCTGCCTTACTGTTAGATACAGCCTAGTAACTAAGTTCTGACCAATAAGATGCAGGTGGAGTTGTGTGACACCTCCAGGAAGTGTCCTTACAGGAACAGGATGCCCCTTCTCACTCCTTCCTTCTTTCCACCAGCCGGAATGCACACAGGACAGCTGAAGCTTGAGCACCCATCCTGGACACCGGGAGGGGAAGCCACATGCCCTGGATGATATACTATCATGAGAGAAGAAATCTGAGTCTCTAACTATTCCAAGATGCTGCCCTATCAGGACTGCTTTCTTCTTGATTTTATGCGAGAGAAATACATTTCTACCTTTTTAAAGTCATTATTCTTTTGAGCTTTCTGCCCTTCACAGCAACCGATCCCAAGTGCAAAAAGAGTAAGATACAAGGGCTCATGCTGAAAACCAGACGTGGCTACAGTGGAACTGCATATGGAACGGGATGGCCATTGCTAGTCTATCCTGACCGATGAGGTCCTTCATCTCTGGGTCTCTCCGAATATCAGCCCTCATTAAACTGCTTCTCTACGTGGCTGGACTTCCTCTGCTTGCTCAGCAGCAGCAGTGAAAACAGCCTTTCAGATCCTAAATCTATGTGACCTTTCAGATTAAGTCATTTCCATTATTTTTCCCTTAGTTCAAAGTTATGGAAAAGAGGCAATTATTCGTTGCTCACCCAGTGAATTGTGCCCGCCTCTCTGAAGTTAGTTGTATAATCCCCAATCAGTCAGTTGTGGCTGGAATGAGTTGGAAGCAGTGGTACAGATATGGCCACCAAAGCAAGGATTCGTGGAGAGGTACAAGTTCCACTAAGAGGGTATAGGCTAGGAAAGCGATGTAAAATGAGTCAACTATTTAAGACCAATGCATATCCATTGTCTAGTGAGCAGCTCAGTTTGAACATTCCACCCTTCTTTCTCTTACATCTGTTCCTCTTTTGTTTTCCAGTTAATAAAATCACCATTAATATAGTTTCCCAAGCCAGAAACCTGGGAGTCATCCTTGGTCCCTCCTTACTTATATCACTCTCTTGTTCAACCAGTCCCTGACTGTAGATTCTACCTTTAAAAAAAAATCATTTTCTAATCCATCCTCTCTGTGTCTATGGCTGCTGTCTTAATTTAGGCTCTTCTCGCTATTTGCCCAGTTTAGTGTAATAGCATCCTTAACTGATTGCCCTGCTGCCAGGCTGGCTCCCATCCAATCTGTACCCCACAGAGCTCTCAGACTGATCTTTCTGAATGCAAATCACTTGCTGCTTAACACCCCCATCGCTTTCCCGAAGAGTTCAAGCCCCTTAGCTTGGCGCCAGAGATTCTTCACAACCTGGCTCCTGCCTGTCTCTCCGGTCTTACCTTCTGCCAGGCCTTGACATTAGCTCTTCATGCAGTATACTTATTGATTCCCATCATGCTAGTTATACTTCCATCACTCAGTATTTATGTCCCTCTGCCTGTCCTGCTATGATATCTGAGAGCTAACGTTTTTTCCCCCAGTGGATTTATTGAGACCCAATGATTGAGCAAACTGAAAATTCTAAAAAATCAGATCTTGAGGTAATACAAATCCAGTCTTTGAATTATAAATGCTCTGATATTTAAACTGTGCCTAAAACTACCCACATAATAAAGTATGCAAACATACTATTCTCTGCAAGTAGATACCGAATAAATGCTCATTAAGTATCTTAAAAGTCCATTCTTTTGAAAGAAGCACATCCCATAGTGTTTTGGGGCCTTCAAAAGCTTCTAGATGTAAAGAATGAAGTGGTAAAGCTGCCAAAGCAAACTGTGACAGAGACAAAGAATTTTAAGTGAGAAGAGGGCAAGGAGAATGGGTGAAGAGTTATTTCTACTCGTTCTTATTTCTCCTACAGCAGGTGCCCTCCAGGGGCCAGGACCATGCCTTATGCTACAGTGCACCTCCTGGCTTTGAGCAAAGGATGAACTTTGGATCCCATGGGCTTTGAGTGACACTAGAGAACAAAGTAAATAGCATGGCCACAAGAACTGAAATATCCAGTCAGGTTATTTACCCGAACCCTTCTTTCTTTTACACAAACATAATTTAAAACTTACAGACATCTTAAATACTATATATAATACAGTTTCTTCCTTTTCAGTTCTCAAATGAGAAAAACAATTTTTTAAAGTTAAAAACAATGTATCAATGTTTAATGCTCAAAATATAAAATTAAGTGATAAAGGCAAAATGTACATTATAACTATGTAAAAATGTACACATGTGAGCAAGGGCTGACATAACAAATGAACTGTTGACATATTAGGACAAGGTTTCTCAACCTTGGCACTACTCACATTTTGGGCTGGCTAATTCTTTGTTGTGGGGGGATCTTCTGTACATAGCAGGATGTATAGCAACATCCCTGTCCTCTACCAACTATATGCCAGTTGGTAGCATATCCCCAGTTGTGACAACTAAAAATATCTCTATACGTTGCCAGTGTCTCCTGGGAGGCAAAGGTGACCCCCAGGCTTGGAACTACTGTGCTAGGGTGAGAGAAAAAAAAATTTTTAATTATGTTAACATGGCCATAATGATGTTTGTTCAGTATATACATATTGGGAGGGGAAAGCTCCCTACAATATAGTATCTAACAGCCCCTTTTTTCAAGAGTTAGAATTTAGCCCGACCGAGGGTGGCTCAGCGGTTGAGTGTCAACCTAGGATCCAGGAGATCGGGGTTCGATTCCCGGTCAGGGCACATGCCTGGGTTGTGGGCTTGATCAATGACTCTCTCATCATTGATGTTTCTATCTCTCTCTCCCTCTCCTTTCCTCTCTCTGAAATCAATAAAGATATATTTTTTTTTAATTAAAAAAAAAGTTCGAATTTATTCAGTTCCCATTTAATGCAAAAAAACTGAAAAAGCTGCAGAACTTGTTTTTCTTTTCCAATCTATTATAGAAAAAAAAACCCTGAATTTCTCAGTATTTAGAAACCTGACCTGGCAGCAAGCACGAGATATCACAAGTAACTGATGTAACTGGCCTCAGAAATAAAAATATCCAAACAATTCTAGCCCCAAAATACCTATTAAAAATGTACACTTTAGCCCAGCCAGGCATGGCTCAGCAGTTGAGCATCAACCTAGGATCCAGGAGATTGTGGTTTGATTACTGGTCAGGGCACATGCCTGGGTTGTGGGCTCGATCCCCAGTCAGGGGCGTGCAGCCGATCAATGACAACTCTCTCATCGTTGATGTTTCTCTCTCTCTCTCTCCCTCTCCCTCTCTCTCTCCATTTCCCTTCCTCTCTCTGAAATCAATAAAGACATATTTTTAAAAAATTTTGTACACTTTATATATCTTCAAAATAGGTTTACATTTTAACCTGAATACCGAAGAAATAGTAAGGCTTGACAAGGAACACATTAAGACAAATAAAGTTTTCCAAGATAAAATACAGTTGCATTGGATATAAATGAATCCTATTTTATTCTTAAGGTCCTCTGTTCCAGAGGGTTATTAAGTCTGTCCCCTTGCCAAAAATATTTATTTTCAATTACCCCTCCTCATTGTTTTTGTTTCTTGGCTCACATCACAAAGAATGTTTTCTGATCAAGAAACTGACATGAAGAGGAGGCACAAGAATTGTTTCAAGCATTTTCTTTCCAAAAATTCTGTCCTATCAAGGTGTTGGGTTCATATGGGCTGAAAGTTGGAATCTTGTTACATGATCATTCTGAATGATCTTCTCACATGCATGAATACATCACTGAAATGTATCCCTAACGAAGCATTCATGTAAGCAAGGAGCAATCTTTCTTTATATAAGCCTGAGATGAGCCCAAAACTGCATTTTTATTCCCCTCCCCCTCCATTTTCAAAACACACTAGGCTTGTAGCAATTTACTGTTTGTATCTACCAATGAGCACTTCTAGTTTAATTTACCCAAGACCGAAAGCTTGCTTGAGTGTAGAGAAACAGAGAAAATCTTCCGAATGATTCCAGGGCTGGAAAATGTTAAACACTTAGCTACCCAAAACATTGTAGCAGAAAAACAGGATGGGGTCTGTAGACGACAGCGGTGGTGGAGACAAACGGACATTGAGTAAGGTGCAGCGTGGACAAAAGGGTGAAAATGGCCGTGGAAGAAGCAGGATGAGAAACTGGCACTTAGGGTGATGAGAGAAGTGGATGAGGTGGTAGCTTGAAAGGCAGAAGGTTAACCGAATTGAAGACGTCTCATGTTGAGGCTACAAAAGGCCGCCAGAGCTTCAACGGGAATTAAGGTTCTGCGTGAACACAGGGCAACAAAGCAGAAAACGGCAGTTCTTTGTTCACAGCACTGGGAAGCCGTGGCTCGGTGGACTTTGCTAATAAATGGCCGAGAGCTTCAGAGTCTTCGCCTGAAAAGTGAGAAAAGGAACGCCTACCTCGCTGGGAGTGGTCTAAGCCCTCTCTAAATAAGCGAGGCCGCCTAATTCTCAATGCCTGCGGCTTCTGGGTCCCAGGACCCGGCCAATCCTTACGGCTATCACTCCGGCCAGTGGCTAGAAAGGCCGCGCCAGGGGAGAGGCTCTCCTCCTGGAGTTTTGGGCCATCCTGGGGAGAGAAGCGGGAAAGACCTGCAGTGGCGAAAAGGAGCGGAGAATAGGTGCTTTCCTCCTCGGGGCAGCGTCGGGAACCTCGGAAAGCAGGCCGGGAGCAGTCTTTTGGAGAGTGCGGTAAGGGTCCGGGGCCGCTAAGGTCCGCCGCTTCGCGGCGAGCTGCAGGTGCCGACAGAGTCCCGGGCGTCATAGCAACCACGCCAGCCGTAGAGACGCCGAGGCGTTCTTCCGGGGGGAACTACAGAAACGACGCGCCCCATTGGCTCAGGGGCTGCTCTTCCTGCGGAGCCCGGCGTTATGGTGCACACCATTGGCCTTTGGGCCGAGGGGCGGGACTTTTCTGGCAGGAACGAAGGTACGGCTCATTCCTTTGGCTTCGTAGTAACTATGGTAACATCAAGGCGTGAGATTGCAGCTGAAGAGGATACTTTCTGTCACCGGGCATTTATAGTTCTCAAATAGTTTCTCGTCAGGCCTTATGTAGAGCCCCAGCATAATTATCTTGGATTTATTTTTCTAGAAGTAACTTCATTCTTAAAACGGAGAGGGTACTAGGTCAGGAGTTACGAATTTTAGGCCAAGATCTGTAACTAATTACCTGGGGCACCTAAAACAAATCACATTTTGGACCCGACTTATTTTTGTAAAAATGAACTGGAAAAAAGTTCCAAGCACTGAAATTTGGTTCAGGTGACCCATTTCTCCACCTATGTAATGCAAAATAAAAATTTCTAAATGACACAAAATTTAACATAAGCTGTTTATGTCCTCTTCATTTAAGTTTTCATTGCGAGTTCTAGTTCATCAAAGCTCATGTTTAGTGGACGCTTGCTTTTCTGATATCCCAAACGCATACCTACATTTCTTAGTCTTATTCTAGTTTCACATAGGATACTTTCCGAAGCTCTGCCAGTTCTACATGCATTATCAGGACGGATTTTACCCCTTAGTTTCTAGAACTGCTTCAACCTCTACCTCTGGCACCAGAGCCCTTGCAAAGTTTTTCTCTCTCACCTAAAATGCTTACCACTATCACCTCAAGCCTACTTAACTCCTACTTCTCAGTTCAAGTATCACTTCCTCAGGGAAACATTCCTTGGGTCTCCAGCCTAGATCAAGTTTTTTCTCATTTGCTCATTGACTGGTGTTCCTTTTCATTCTTTCTTTCTTTGCTCACTTCCACTTGCTGTTTAAAAAAATAACAACAAACCTGGAATTTTAACATGTGTAAATATTGTTTAAGTGCTTGGAATGGAAACTAAACAGAATTTTAAAACACTAAGTACTTCCACGTAGAAAAGTGGTGGTTGTTTCAAGGATAACAAAACAGGGTAGGAAATGGTTCCCAAGAGAATAATTAAGGTAAAAACAAATGTTAAAATCACTTCTAGTTTTAATTCCACTTATCATCATTGTATATTCAACGATGACAGTAATCATCATCTGCATAAAACTATAGATGTAGGGAAGAAAATCAACCTTTTACTTCCTATCCCTTCAGTACTGCAGCTACTGCTGACAGAACCTGTATTGCTTTTGAGGTTTTGCCCACTGGACCTGAAGTTAATTTACAATTTTTGTTTAATGGGATTGCTGCTTCCAGAACAGTCCTGATTACTGGTTATTTTTCTTCTGCTCAAGGTCACACTTTCTAATTTAATGAATTATTTCAGTGCATCTTGGCACTTCTGTTCCAATCTTTTCAACTAAAGTTTATTGTACCTCTATTACCAGTCACCTTGGGTTCCTCTTCCACTCCATGAAACAGCATGAATTACATTTTAAATCAAATACTTGTGTGAAGCACAGTACTTATTTCTACCTAGTTATTAACGGTAGTTTTTCAAATTGCACTCTGGACCATCCTACGAATCATTTAGGGGATTTTTCTGGATTACACTTCTTGTGCACTCCCAACCCAAAGCCCAGGACTGAGAGAGCTTTAAAAATTTCTCAAGGATTCAGGGATCCAGCAGGGCACCAGCCCAATACTGCCTTGCTAGGTAAAGAAAAACAGTAATTGCAACCATTTACTGAGTGTGAATTATGTACCAGGCACCAAGCAAATGCTTCATCTTCAGTTTTATTTAATCCTCGCAACCAATGGCATTGTTTTGCACAGATTATCCCCATTTTATAGATGAGGAAACTGAAATTAAGTCAGGTGTCTAAGTTTATAGAGCTATTAGGTGGTACAGCTTGGAGAGGTCAAACCTGGCTAAGATGACTCCAAAGCCCATATTCTTTACCACATTGGAATGCTTTCCTCAGGGTAGAGATTATCAATTGGCTCCTGCCCGGTTCCAGGTGGAAACCCAGGTTCTCTCCCTGAAAAGCAGTCCTAAAATATTTGAAAGGTAAATTATTAACTCAAACATGGAGTGAATATAGGTCAAGAAAGCAAAAAGTAAAGTAGTGAGAAGCTTATCATTCATCAGGCAATCTGTCTTCAGGGAAAAGTCCTTCTCTCCTACTCCCATCTTTGATAAATCCCCAAAGAACAACACCCTTTCCACTGTCAGCTTTTGGGCACACACTTTATTGCACTTAATTTATATATCCATTTCCCAAACTAGACATGTTTATTCATCTTTTTAATCCTCATAATCATCAAGGCCTACCATATAGTAGGCATCAACAACTATCTGATCTTCAAAACATGGCCACTCATGAATCCACAATCCACTTCATAGCATGAAGGCAGTTGATATTCAGGTCCCACAGGTATATTTTAAGGAATATAATTCCCAATAAGCTCTTTTTTTAAGGGTGAGAAACAGCTCATGTTCACTTTCAAAATCAAGATGACATTCAGGTAAGTGTGTCAGGTGGGTCAGTCGCGTAGTTGCTTTGCTTTTGTTTTCATTTTTAATGAGTATGAAATGACCTTTAAAAGACACAGAGCAAACCATATTTGCCTGCACACCACTCACTGCTTTTTCCCTTCATTTTCTCTGTCTTTATGAAAGCAATGGATTTATTCTAGTTCTCACCATCTGTAAGAGCCCTGGTCCACTGAACAATTTTTGATCCTATAGTTTTTGATCCTTCAGTTTTTGTCTTGTATAAAAGTTGTGTGTCGAGACTGAAGATCATCTACTATCTTCTTTTCTATCTCCATGCCTTTTTCTATTTCTTCCTCTGATAGCAATAACTTAGTTTCTGAGTCTTTGGTTACAATAACCACAAAGGACCTTCGTGACTCAAGGATATTAGCCACCACCACTTGATGTCGATAAACTTCCAAAGCATTCCGTGCCCGATCAATTACAATAGAGGGGTTAGTCTCCAACTTAAAGGAAATTATAAATGCTTTCGGAGCCCAGTCTTTAACCAAAGGAGAAAGCATTTTTGGCACCATCTTCATTGTTATCTGTGTTGGAAAAAGAAAAGCTTAATAAGCAAACAAAGGTCACTACCTACCAGGTCAAGCTCACGGGAAACGAAGGAAGCAGGGGCTCAGATTTTTGGGTATGTCAATTTGTGAGATTTCCCATTGTCAAACTTTGCAAAGCGTATTAAATGATTAGCTTAAAAGCCTTGGCTCTGCCCAGCCGGACGTGGCTCAGCGGTCGAGCATCCACCTAGGATCCAGGGGGTATCGGTTTGATTCCCAGTCAGGACACATGCCCCGGTTGCGGGCTCAATCACCGGTCGAGGGCATGAAGGAGGCAGCCAATCAGTGACGACTCTCTCATCATTGATATTTCAACTCTCTCTCCCTCTCCCTTCCTCTCTCTCTGAAATCAGTAAAGATATATTTAAAAAAAAAAAAAAAAAAGCCTAGGCTGTATGGGTTCGTAAGGATGCCTAATTTCAAGGCTTTACACATACTCTTGGGCAAATCATGTTTTATGAACCAGCCCTACTCTGACATCCTCTTCACCATTAACTGAACTCCAAGAACAGCATTACACTTTCTCAAACATCTCCCTTTATTTTTTAAGCCAAACCTGCAAATAAATGTAAATAATCTATTCATGAAAAAGTTACTTTGGCAGAAGCTCAAATAAAGTTGGGGTTTTAAGCCTCTCTGCCTAAAATATTTCTTGCACTGATAGAATGGCTATTCAATTCCATTTAAAAACTGTCATTTGTAACACATCTCAGCATTCAGAACTGATTTTCTTTCTTTTCATTTGATCAAAACTTCTACTATATACCATTCTCAATCCCTTCTAAAGGGAATGTTGAGTTGTTTTGCATACTTCCAAGACAGAACTAAAAAATACAAGATAAACTAAAGCTCCCAGAATTCAAATAGCATGAAATCACTAATCATCAGACTTTCCCCTCAAAAAATTAGGAAGTGAGATAGGGATCACATACCCGTTCTCCAGTTTATTTTTCTCCTTAGCATTTATCACTACCTAACATAGTATGCATTTGACTTGTCTCCTCTGCAAAGTATAAGCAACACAAAGGCACAATTTATTGCTTTTCCCTGCTTTGCCTCCAGGTCCTACAACAGTGCCTGGCATGGAGTAGATACTCAACACACAAACATGTGTTGAAGAAACAAATGAACTATCCTACAAAGTCACTAAGTGACCCCTAGGACTCGAGTTTCTCCTCTTTAAATTCTATTTTATCATCCAATAAATGACTAACAACTCCCTCGGGTTACAATAAGCCAGATCATCTCACATCTCAATCACACCCCTTCCTTAAACTAGAGCAGTAACCACTATCTAATCAATCCATGGTCTCCCACTCCGATTCACCTTTCATACTGACACCCCATGTTCTCAAACAAAAACACTATCTCACTCTCCTACTTGTTTCCTTTGGCTCCACAGGATAAAAAGCCCAAGCTTCTTAAGAGGGAATAGAAAGTCCTCCATGAATTAAGCTGTTTCTTTTGCCCTCCATTTCCACCACTCTCCCTGCTCTCCCGCCTTATGTTTTCAAACAACTTCAGTTCATAGTCACTGCCCGTTTCCAAATGCCAACTGTGTCCTCTATCCGCAATGACCTTCCCCACTTTGGTATACTCTGGGCTCATCTTTTAAAACTCAGTTCAAGTCATCTCCAGAAAGCCTTCCTTGACTTTCCAAGATTCACTCACCCATGCTCTGACTTCACTTTGACATTTGTCACTCTATATTGTAATTATGTCTGTGTCCAATTCCCTCACTAAATTGTGAAGTCCTTGAGGGAGAACAGTGTCTTACTCATCTCTGTATCCCTAGTGCCTAGCTCATATGAAATGCAGAAAGGCCATCTCCAGATCAAGAGGGAATTAACCCAAGACTGGTTACAGGGGATCAGATTTCTGGAAGAGAAGCGCCCATCACCTGCAGTGGGCCTCCAGATGACTGGATCTTGTGTTCAGGCATTTCAGAGACAGGAACATAGAAATCTGACACGGCCGCAGCCAGGTAAAACATCGCAGAAGGGCCTGCAAAGAAGCACAGGGTGTAATAAATGGGAACGGCTCCTTTTCAACTCAGGTTCCCCTGCTGTGAGAGACGTGGGTAACGAGGGTGCACGGGGCGAGTGTCTGGGGAGAAAGGCTCTGCCTGGCGGCCACCGAGGGACTCCTACACGCACCTAGCGGGCTGAGCGCCTGGGCCGCAGCCTGCAGCAGATGCAAATAGTCCGCCAAAGTGGTGAACTCGACCGCCAGGAAGGTGCCGGCAGCCTCCGCCTGCTGGTAGCTCCTCAGAGCCGCGGCGAAGCCCGGGAGGGCGTTCTCCTCGACCTCCAGGCCCAGTACGCCCGCAGCGGCCGGGCTGCAGGGCCGCAGCGCCGACAGCCAGGCCTGGGGAGGGAAGCGGTGGGCAAAGGGGAAGGCGGAGCGAGCGCGGTACAGGAACAGGACCCCATAGCCCGCGGCCAGGAAGGCCTCGGCCGAGGTGGCCCCGCGGCGCCCGCTGCTGAAGTTGTCCAGGAAGCGCACGGGCCGGGCTTCCAGCGGCACTTTGGTGCCGCCGGACGTCACTAGCACGACCCGTTTGCCCTGCGCGCCCAGGCGGGCGGCGAA